AGCTAAGACAGTTTTATTTTTCTAACAGAGTGGTTGGCCTTTGGAATGGGATGCCTTCAGATGTTGTAGAGGCAGTAAATTTAAGTCAGTTTAAGAAAAAGCTTGATAAGTATATGAATGAAAAGGGCTGAGTTTTTTAATCATTTTAATTTAGTTTTGAAGATGGAACAGCCAAGATGGACCAATAGGTCCCATGTTGTCCCAAAATATTATGTTATGTTACTCCTCATTAGATTAAGCTACTTTCCTGGCTCCTAAAAGTTAGATATATTTAAAAAACCCTGTTACTGAAGCTTTGTGGAACTTATTTCAGAGAAATAATTCAAAGGAATATAAATAAATCTTTTTGTAGGCATAATCTTAATTTAAAAAACAAAAAAATCTATTTCATACATGCATAAAATATTAAATGAGTTAAACTATACCATAAAATCAAACAATACATTAGTTTATACATAAAATTTGTCGAGAAAGAGAAAATGTGACAGTCTTGATAATTATGTACTACCCTCTTACTTTGATGTATGTATATTATAGTTCTTCATTATCTATTTTAAAGATATTTTTAGAAGAGTTGATAGTACTGGAATTTACACTTCCACGGATTGCACTGTCCCGGGTAACACTTTTATCTGTGTGTGTATTCTGATTGAACGTGATAAAGACTTCAGTACTGAGACCAAAACATTATTCAGTTTTAATGATTTCTTGACAAATCAGGTATTCAAAATTAATTATTCTGAATTTTGTATCACATCCTCAATTTATAATGTGTAACACATAACACAAGATCATGGTCCACAACTATGAGCTTCTTTCAAATACTACTGTTGAAATCTACATATAAGGTTACAAAATTGTTCATAAAGAAATACAAGCAACTCAACATAAAACAGATTTAACAAACCATTATATTACAGAAATATTAATATTATTTATATACAATATATATATATATAATATTTTTTACAAATGAAACCAAGTGCAAATATTACTATAGAATATATCATCTACATACCTCTTCAACAGTCAAAGGCAAAATTACACGGCTGAGGAAAGAGAAGTATAATTAGTAATCAATATGAATGTTCATGCATGTTTTATAAGTGATATTATTAATAACTTGCTATGGCTTTAAATAATAATTTCAAGCTTCATCATTTATGTTGTATATCATTAAAAATTATTTACAAAAATCTCTTTTTTTAATATTTACACTGGAAAGTGATTATCTGTTATCATATAATTGAAAAAAGTATTAAAAATAATTTGTTGTGGCAAAAATACAATGAATATTAAACATAAGCTCATTGATTGGTATCTAGAAGTGACCTCAATTAACAGATTTGGTTTTGTTATATCGCTTGTTTTAATTTTATCTACCATAATGGCTTACCATGAATAAACGATATTTCCAGACTTCTAATTGAATTCTAAGTCATGTGTTTGTTTGCAACTTAGTTCCATATTAAAATCAATTTAGTGACTTTTTATGGTAGTTAATGTCCTCTAAATTAAGGCAAATTTTGGCTACTTATCCTGATAGTTTTGATAAAAATATCCTATTTTCACATAACTGTTAAATTAAACATATACATAATAACAAATACTTGAAAAAATAATAACACATAAATGAAAACTTTTATTACATAAAAACTTGTTACTGTTGTATACTCCTGTTTACATACAATCTTCAGAACATATTCTTATGTAAAAATATGTCATACTCACTAAGACCTACATTAAACTCTAAACTCCCCTTTTTCCCCATTAGACCTACATATCATTATTAAATATTTCTTATATCCACTAAAACAGATAAAATATTGATTAATCTAACATTATTTTCTCAAGCTGTAAACCAAAATGATTGTCATAATGCTATCGATCACAAATGCAGTGACAAAGTATCACATACTCGAAGATATCTGATACATTTAATTATTCTAGGTTACTAATTTATAACAGATATTTCCCACTTCTACTCATCATCAAACACAATTTTGTTTTCATTTCTGAATATAGTTAACAACAGCTACATTAGGAAATATGCAAGACGTACACAAAACTTCTATAGATGAGATCTTTTAAAGGTGCAGCAGATAAGATCTTTGCATCTCACTTGAACCCACTAAGCATTTTTCAGAATTAAATCTATTAAATACTTGAATCATTGCACAAAACCTTGATCTGCCCTAAAAGTATAAAAAACATATTACAACTTAGCAAGCAGCTTGCACATATAAAGCACATGATGAATCCAATATATATTACTTGTATTATTATATTAAAATATTTTAACCTTCCTTTAAACACAATAAAAAATTTTAGGATCTGACATCCTAAGTAAGAACCTCCATCATACTTTCTACCTCTCATACCATGCCCCCACATAAGCAAGACCTAAACATGGAGTACATTCCTAACTTTGATAAGGCTATTTGAAATTACAACAAATCCACAACTTTTACTTGTAATTGAATAATACAATTTTTTGATGTTATAAATTACAATCACTTTAACATATACATACCAACAATTCCTAGACATGGTTATTCTTAAGTTACATTATGCTTGTGAGTATTCCGAAATTATAACAGACACCGTTCTTGGCCAATTTGGTTCATCAGATTATCAATAATCAAACTTGTTTAATCAAGACTCCCTTGATTCCAGCTTTCTACAGGGATATAATTTGCTTAATTTGTGCATTCACGTCCAGCATGAAGATACCTGCTCAGAACTCTGACTAACATGTCATTTCTTTGTCACTTGTTTGATGAATTAACTTTGACTCAATTATCACAAACATGTGGTCATCTTAAATCATCTCAACAGTCAGTCATATGACAATAGTTAACACTGAACATAATCGTATAGAATGTATAATGTTTAAAGAATAATGTATAATGTTTTTTTTGTCATATGACAATAGTTAACACTGAACATAATCGTATAGAATGTATAATGTTTAAAGAATAATGTATAATGTTTTTTTTGGTCAAATGACAATAGTTAACACTGAACATAACTGTATAGAATGTATAATGTTTTTACTGTTAAATTGTTCTTTACATAAATATGTAAAGTACTGTAAACATATGACATTATGTATGCTAGGCTGCATTAAGGAGAAAAAGAGCAATGTGAGCAAGCCAGCTGTCCCCATAACATTGTACGGACTATACCATGTACTTTAAAGTTACCTGTTAGAATTATTAGTAATACATACAAGTTTTCCATATTAATTTATAATGTAGAATTCTAAAAACAATGGTTTTGCCACTCGACACATTATATCACTTATCCAATCTGTGTGCATTGCATGTTATTATTTATGATGTTTAAAGTAACAGTTCCTGGGAATCCACACAATTCCTTTATTGTGTTGAACTAGTCAAGGCTAAAGTGGATGTTCTATGATGTGTGCACATGGAAGTCATCACAGAATCCATGTTAATTTCCTTTTAGGATGTCATGTTTTACAAAATTATTTTTACAAATCTTCTTTTATAAGACTCTAGAATTTTTCCCATAGTAAGAGTAATAAGAATTGGCTTTTCATTTTAAAGGCAATACTTGACACCCATTTAACCCTATTACAGACAGTGTAAAGGTCAAGGGTAAGCTTGTTTAACTTTTCAGCATGGGCTCAGTCCCTGGGACTGACTTTGTAACCATTTTATGCTTGTTATAGTTTTCATACTATAAGTTTTAAATTAGTAAGCTAATGTTAACAAAATTTGGCACATTATCAGTATACAAAATATCAATTTTTGCTATTAAGTTTTAAGGTTTGTAAAGCAATTTTTTTCTTTTTTGCGTGTTGCTTATTTATCATGCAAAGTAATATTCATTTTAAGATTAAAGATGCTTTTATGCATCAGAAAAATTTTGAAATTTCACATGAGAAATCTTTTTAATGTTGAAATAGTT